CTCCTTCTTTCTCTCTCTCTCTCTCTCTCTCTCTTTTTCGTCTACATTTCATCCCCTGTGCATTTATAACCGCGAAAGGGTTGGTTTCAATTAAAAAGTCGAACCACGCCACGAGAGAAGTTTAAACGTTTATTTCCCCGACGCGCGTGCAACTTTTCATCGGCATAAACAATCCCCAAAACGCGGTTCGCCCGCGTGCGATGTTGGATGGAAAAGGGAGGAGGAGAGAGGAGGTGGGGGGCGGGGAGAGGGAAGAAGAAGTGGAAGAACTTGAAACTTCATTTTTCGCGGCGCGAGACTTTCGTCGGTGCCTTTCCCGTAAACAGCCCTCGAGGCGCCCTCGGGGGAAAAATGCCGCCACCGCCCCATCCACTCGAATCCACCCCCCTCTCCCCTCCTATCTTCTTCTCCTCTCCGTTATTCGAAAATTCGTGGCACGCATCGCCGATACAAATTAAAAGGAAGAAGGAAATTCAACCGTTCGTCGTCAATCGAATTTACCTGATTTAAATAGTTTTCGGTGATCGATGCTTGTTGTTGGTGATTCCTTTCTTTCCCTTTCTTCGTCTTTTTTCTTTTTTTTTTTTATCTTCTCCGAATATATCTCCGCGAACGAGAACGCGTGGATTACGAAGTATCCGACGAAGCTACATGCTACATAAATCGCAAGTCTCGCGCGCGAATCCAACAATTTCCCAGAGCGCGAAATAAAGAAGCAATAGTCGCCGTAAAAAGGGGACTCCCCGCCAATTTCGAATCGATAAGCGTTCCGCCATTTCCCTGGAAAATATCGGATCCGCCCCGGTTCTCATAAGAATCGCGACATCTGTGGGGGATGATGTCCCTCGAGTAAGAAATCGGTGCGTTCCCTCTTCGGGACGAGAGAGAAATGGTGGAATGGCGCGCTCGAGCGGTTTTAATATTGGCAATGGCGAAAACAAACATGGCCACCGGAAGGAAGAAATATGGAAATATTGCCGTGGAAAAGGTATTCGGAGAGCTTGGCATTCGGAGATGGTAATATACGCTCGTACGCGATACCTCTTTCTCTTTTTCTCGAACACCGCAAACAGAGACAAAATGTGGAAGAGGTGGAGAGAAGTAGCAGCCTTGAAAGCGTTCGAAGAAGGGGAAAATTAAATTTGTTTGGAC